GGCTGCTTCTTCAGTAAACCTGTGATAGGATCACCTCTTCCCAGACAAGAAAAAGGCTGAGCAGGGGTGAATCCCAGATGCAAAATATTATTAGGCACATTGAAATCCCCAAAGGAGCCGTTAAGCATTCACTGACACTGTTAAGTGAGTGTGGGAACACGGGTGAAGCATCCATCTCAATGCCACTATTGGTGAAAACTAAGTCTACCAATGCCAATAGGCGATGAAAATGAGAGTTGATGAAAACACATCTGTACTCTGTAACATGCTGTTTGGCACCCATTTGATGTTATCTGGTAAAGTTAAGTATTTGCATAACCTGTAGGCCAGTAATTCTACTCTTAGTATATACCCAAAACATCAGGGAACAAGCAGAGGAGTATACAGACTGGCAACACTGTCTGTAATGACAAAAACCTGGAGTGGGAGAACATGTAGGTCTGTCAACAAAGTCTGTAGTCTAGGTAAATAATCTGATGTACAGTCATGCAATGGAATATTATACAGCAGGGAAAATGAAAAACTCACTGCCACGTGCTACAAGGATGAATCCTAAAAACATGTTGATTCAGGGGTGCCTGGTTGGCTTAGTTGGCCAGGCGTCCGACTCTTGATTTTGGCTCAGGTCATGATCTCAGGGTTGTGAGATAGAGACCCGCATAGGCCTGCGCGCAGAGCCTGCTTCGGATCCTCTCTCTCTCTCTCTCTCTGCCCTCCCCTCCTCATGCTTGCTTGCTTTCACGCTCTCTCTAAAAAAATAAAATTTTTTAAAAAACAAAGTAGCTTTAAATTGCATGCAGTATACCATTTTTATTATGCTATAAAAATAAGCAAAAATAAGTATCAACAAATGGTTTAAAATTTATTTTGAGAAAAAGACAATGATAAGCACAAAAAGCAGAAAACTAGTTACCTCTATAGTGAGCAAGATGAATGGGATGGGGAGAAGCATGGACAGATGTAATGATATGGAGAATGTTCTAGTTCTTGGGGGGGTGGTAGGTTCATAGGAATATAATGTATATGTTTTAATATGTTACATATATTCTTTGGCATGTACCAAATATTACATAGAACACTTTCTTTTAAAATGGGTAATCTAGTCCAACTCCAGTTTCTGGATCTGGTCCAACCCCGATGGGTCAGGCTTCTACAATGGAGCCAGCCAGCCTCCCGCCAGTTTCTGGACCCCGTCCGGAAGAAGAAATGCTCAAGTCAAGTCTGAAAACTCCTAACAGAAAAGCTGGGATCCAGGCTAAGCGAGGGACTCATCCACTTGCTCTAGAAACAGAGAGAATGCAGGAGCTCAAGGAGCTCGGCAGGCATTTGCTTCAGTTAATGAAAAACAAGTTAAGGAGCACTGTGACGCCAGGATCCAGCGGCAAATCCACACGATCGCTTCATGGCCAAAGCTAAACACTCTGAGCGATGAAACACAAAATGATAGCATTGGATAAGAATCCACATAATAAAATAAGTATCCATGAGTTCATAAGGCTATAAAAAATATGTGATTGCACAGATAGATGCCCGTGAAAGGACGGTCCCTTCTTTACAATAGAATTCACATTAATACAAATGGAAGGGATGAAATTGAAATTGAGCAATGAGAAAACAGCACAGGAATGCTTGCTGCATACAAGTTTTACTAATGGAGGCTAAAATCAGTGAACGAACAACTGGAGAGAAACAGGATAGATAGAGTCTCAGAGATATAGTTCCCAAGATATTTGCCAACTACACTGGCAGGGAGGATAGCAACTTTACAGTGGAACAACCGAGCAGAAATCATCTTCTCCAAGTGAACAAGGGTAGCCTCACATCACCAGCAATAAGACACATAAATAGCACAAACCCGGTGATATGAGGCACCAAGGAGGATACGGCACCACTTCTGTGACATTCATGCCCCAAATGCATTCACCTCAGTCCTATCGCATGAAAACAGTAGACAGACACAAACTGAGGGACCTTCCACAAAATGACTGACCAGTACTCTTCCAAGGTGTCAAAGCCATGAAGGACAAAGAGAGACTAAAGAACTATCAAACTCTGTAGGAGACTAAGAAGAAATAAGAAATAATGACTAAATGTAACATGGGATCTTGATAGGATTCTGGATCAGAAAAAGAACTTGAGTGGCCAAACTAGTGATATTTCAGTAAGGCCTTAAGTTTAGTTAATGGTGGTATAGCAATGTTCATGTTCTGGTTCTGACTGTTGCATTATAGTTATGTAAGATGGTAACGCTGAGGGAAGTTAGCTAAAGGATACATGGAAACTCTGTGTTCTGGTTTTGTAACTTTTTAGTAATTGTAAAAGTATCTCAAAGTAAAAAGTGTGTTTTTTAAAAAAAAATGGACAATCTAAAGAATTTTCTATTGCCCAATAGGTTATTCCAACTGTTATTATAATTTATATATAATTCATATCATAAGTAGTAATCATTAATATCTCAAAAATCTTAAGTTCCCATGTAACATATGCAGCTTAATTCTCAACTTGGAGCTATATCAAAACATCAAGGTGCACATGTTAACTATATATACTTTTCGTTGATTATACCTCAATAAAGCTGGGGGACAAAAGTAAGCAATGATTTCACGATAACAATGAGTATTTTTATAGTAAGGAGTGACATTCAAAGTATTCAAAATATTTAACAACCGATTTTGTTATACAAATTAGTGCAGAAATCAAATATTACCACCATCTGCTTGTTTTACTTCTGTTCATTAAGCTCTCACACCAGTCCTTCAGAAACTGACATTCCCAAAGGTGACCACACGAGGGCGACTCTCATGAGCTGTGCCTGCCCGGAGTGGGCAGCCACAGCTCCGGAGCTGTCCTCTCTGGCTAGCGAGTTCTGCGGGTACGAGGGCGAGCAGAGAGGATCTACAGAGGGCAGGTAGGATGCCTCACTGAGAAGTTGGCACTCAAGCAAAGATTTGAAGGAAATGGGAGCATGAACCATGCAGATCACTTGGGGAATTTTCCCAGGCCAAAAGAGCCTCTACTATAAATGCTAGGAGAGAACAGAGTCCCGCGCTCTAGGAACAGGAAGGAGGCCAGTACAGCTGAAACAGAGTGGAGATAAGGCACCAGTAAGAGGTCTGAGGGCCATCACAACTAATTTGGCTTTTATCCTGAGTGAGATGGGAAAGCGATAAGGGGTGCTGAGCAGAGGAGGGACCTGAGATGATTGTAAAACATCTTAAAATGGCTGCAATATTCTATTTAGAAAAGGCTGAAGGGGGATAAGGACAGAACTGGGCAGGCCAGTGAGGAAGCTACGTCTCGCGGGGAGGAGGTGGGCCCGTGGCCAAGGGTGGCAAGCATTTGTAAGTTCCATCGCCCACATTCAACAAAGCACACAGAGATGCACTTAAAAGCATGAAATTAGATGTTATCACCAAGCGAGGGAGTGAAGACAAAGACCAGAGGAGGCGCAGAAGGGATGCGAAACCAGCAAGGGCTGAAGCAGGAGCAGCCTCCCCTCCCCACAACAGGTCACTGCCGCCCTGCATTCAGATGTTTGTCATTCTCATGAATGTCTTCCTACTTTCACTACAAAAGGATGTACCTCTAGACAACACATAGGAATGTTTTTGCATGCTTTTCAACTTTTTTATATGGTATCACACTTGATAGTATTTCCCCAGTTGTTTTCCCCCCACAACCAATACTTGTGAACTTTATCCATGTGAATGCATGTTGCTCTAGATCACTCAATAGTCACTGCTGTCTGGCATTCCTGTGTGTGAACAGGCCACATTGGGGTCATTTTCCCGCAGACGGACACGTAGGTTATTTCACTATTTCTGCTATGATAAACAACACCGGTACGAGTACTCTCACACAAGCCTCCTCCTGTGAGACTTCTCTAGGGCAGTGGTTCTCAAACTGTGTCAGAGTCACCTGGAAGCCTTAATACAACAGATTTCTGAGCCCCATGTCCAGAGTTTGTGAACGACAGGTCTAAGGTGGGGCACAAGAACTTGCATTTCTTTTTTTTTTTATCATTTTTATTTATGCATTTGTTAATTTACATGCAAGTTAGCATATAGTACAACAACTATATGTTGTAGGAGCATATGTTTTAGGAGCAGATTCCAGTGATTGATCCCCTATGTATAAAACCCAGTGCTCATCCCAACAAGCGTCTTCCTTAATGCCCCTTACACATTTAGTCCATCCCCCTCCCACAACCCCTCCAGCAACCCTCTGTTTGTTCTCTGTATTTAAGAGTCAAGAATTTGCATTTCTAACCAGTTGCTCCATGATGCCATTGCTATCCCTCCCAAGATCACACTTGGAGAAACAAAGCACCGGGGCACATGCCAGGAGGGCAGTGATGGTCACAGACATGCATGGACATCTTCAGCCTTTCTAGGTATTGCCAAATTGCTCTGCAAAGTGGGTGAAGCAATTTACACTTCCACCAGTAATAAGTATGTGTCCCTGCTGCCAACACTTGGTACTGTCAGATTTTTTATTTAATCTGACCTTTAGTCATTTTGTAAACTTATCATGGCATTTTTACCTACACAGTATGTGTAAATAAAAGCCACTTAAGACTTTACATCCTAGGGTCAATTAGAACATTTCCAAGCATTTCTATAGACAGGCCCCTCAGGTTCTATCATCTGCCCAGCTACCTGCTTGTTTTCCCCATCAATCCTAGAAATAAACAAAAATGGTGCAAAGTCATTAAGAACATTATGAAAGACGACTACAGTTTTCTTTTCATGGCCAACTGCCCTATAGCGTTATTTATTGTAGTTCCGTCCTCTTGGGGTTTTTGTTTGTTTTCGTTTCATTTTGTTTTTACTTAATTAGGTGAAGGGAGTGAAGCAAATCGGGCATATGGATACAGAAACTTAAACTTCCTTCACCCACATACCTGATCACTTTTGGAGGGAAATAAAGAAATCACAGTCAGGGAAAAGTTCCTTCCATTTTGTACCACATTAACAAGGAGACAAGAAGCCAGTACTCACGAATCTGGTTGGTGGATGCACTGTAGAAGGCATTGACGGTCGTGGGATTCGTAAACCACCTGTAGAAAGAGAAGCAAATACCACCAAGAAATCATCATTATCCAGGCGGGAGGGCAACAAGAATGAACACAATGTGGCAAGATTTATTAGAAAATAACCAGCGAGCAATGGGGAAATAGGGCACATGGGGAAATTACCACCTCAGTTTAGGGTTATTGCTCTGTTCAATGAGCAGCCTCATCATAAACTGAACATGGTTCAGTGAGAATATATTAACATGCCTGCTTATTCACTAGTACTAACTTAACAGAAAAAGTCAGCACCAGTGCTTCTGAAATAGCTTTAATGAGAAATTCTAGAATCTAAAGGGCTCTCCCCATAGATGGAAACAGCAAGAAGCTGATGTTTGGCAGGCCTAGTTCAATGGATCCATGGGACAGCTAACTTTCTATGCTGCATCACTTCTGACCTGTCCATTCGAGGTTTGGCATTGATGACAACACAGAAATCCATGTAAAGAGAGATGGATAAAGTATAACTATGCCACCCAGAGGTTCTCCCTGCTCCAGTGGACAGTTTACAGATGTAAGCATCCAAAGAGCTAATGAGTCATCCTGCCTCTTTTACTAAGTAGCCGGATTGTTTTGGAATAGTTGCCCACCTTCCTGGGGTTTGGTTTCAGCTATAAAATTAAGATACTGCATTAAGAGGCACACCTGAGTGGCTCAGTCAGTTAAGCGTCCAACTCTTGATTTCAGCTCAGGTCATGATCTCATGGCTTGTGAGTTTGAGCCCCACATCGGACTCTGCACTGACACTGCAGAGCCTGCTTGGGAATCTTGCTCTCCCTCTCTCTCTGCCCTCTCCTGCTCTCTCTCTCGCTCTCTCTCTCAAAAAACAGATAAACTTAAAAAAACATTTTTTTTAAAGATCCTGCATTAAGCAATCAGGGGAGTACCTTCCAGCTATAAAGGGTCTACATTCCAGGGGCACCTGGGTGGCTCAGTCAGTTAAGTATCTGACTTCTGCTCAGATCATGATCTCACGGTTGGTGAGTTCAGGACCCAAGTCAGGCTCTGGGCTGACAGCTCAGAGCCTGGAACATGCTTTGGATTCTGTGTGTCTGTCTTCTGTCTGTCTCTCTCTCTCTCTCTCAAAAATAATTTTTAAAAAAGAGTCTACATTCCACTTTAAATGCATGGACTACTTAGCTCAGGGATTCACAAAATTTTTTCTGTAAACAGTCAGATGGTAGACAATTAGGCATTTTGTAGGCAAAGAGGCAAAAATCAAAGATGTTATGTAGGTACTTCTTTCGTAAGAGAAAGGGTTCCACAAAATTTTATTGATAAAGTTAAAAATAGAACAAGTGAGTACAATTTTTTGTAAGACAGCCTGTTAATGAGAAGAATGGAATTCTTTAGAGGCAAAATAACATTTTGCTTAATTGGGATTCAGAGTTAGTGCTTCATATCATTAGATCGACTACAAACATTTATCTCTAAAAATCACTCTTTGTTCATGGGCCCCACAAAAACAGGCATCAGGCAAGATTTAGCCCACAAGCTGCATCGTGCTGACCCCTGATTTAGAGGCCTATGAGTTTCTGCCCTTTATGATAAAAACCAAGCAATCTGTCTTAAACTAAATTGCTCAAAATAAATTTATATAGATCCCTTTTCAAAACAATCATTTTACTGATTTATATCTAACAGAAGAATTATGGCAAGCTAATAATTTAAGTCAGACTAATATGAAACTGGTAGGAAATCCAAGGGTTGATTCTAGTTGATCGGCCCACACCTTCTCCCTATAAAGAAGTCCACAAATACATCATTCTATTATCATTAGAAGTAACAGTGGCCGTAGGAAACTTTCACTGAGCGCTCACAATGCCCTAGGCACTTCCTATTCGTAGTCTTCCCCATAGCAACTGTAGGAATCACTAGCCTATCTCACAGATGAGGACAATGAGATTTAAGAAGCATTATGTACTTGTGCAAGGTCTGCTGTGACTTCAAACCGGTTAAGTGTTACAGTATACCGGAGACGTTACTGGAAATCAAGAGAGTGCCTCCTCTAGTCAAAACTGAAACATGTACTCCTTTCCATAAAATGTGTACTCTTTTCCTTCAGAGTTAGGATTAGTATTTCAATAAGCCCCAATGTTTAGCAAACAAACTTACTGGCTGGTCTACCTTCTTGAGGAAACAAGTGGAGGGGAAAACACTTTCATCGTTCTAAGGTCACTACCTGAGGTAGGTGGAATTATGTTCAGGTCCTAATCCCTGGATCCTGTGAAGAGGTTACATTACATGCCAAAAAGGACACTGCAAATACAATTAAGGTTAAGGAGCTTAAAACATGGATGGTCTCCTGGATATCCAGGTGAGCCCAATCTAATCACTAGTCCTTAAAAGTAGAGAACCTTCTGTGTCTGGAGTCCCAGAGATGCCGGGAAGGAAGTCAGATTCCAAGAGTTAAAAGGATTCCACATGCCGTTGCTGGCTCTGAGATGTAGGGACCATGGTGCAAGGATCAGAAAGAAGCCTTTAGAAGGGAACAGTGGCTCCCAAATGACAGCCAACAAGGAAGTAGGGATGTCAGTTCTGAAACTGGCAGGTAGTGAATCTGCCAACAACTCAATAAGCTTGGAACAAAATTCTTCCCAGAGCCTCCAGCTATGAGCCCAGCCAGCTGACAACTTGATTCCAGTCTTATGAAACCTAGATCTCAGAAACCAGCCAAGGCATCCTGTACTTCTGACCTACAGAACTGTGAGATAATACATTTGTGTTATTTTGAGTTGCTAACGTTGGGTGGTTTGTTACAGCAGCAAGAGAAAATTAACACATTACCATACAAAGAACCCAGCATTGGTATGTCTGAAGATTGAGTCAAGTCCTAAATGACAATGGACTGAAGCGTCATAGGTACAAAAGATGATTTATATCCCTAGAGCTCATCCCTTCTCTCCCCTGCCTTCAGCAAAGAATGAACTTGCAAAATGTGAGGATAAGGGCCATGCAGGAAAAATGATTCTAACTGCTGATGAACAAAGGTGGACAAAACAAAGAGATCAAACAATCAGACGGGGCCTGATGGGGCCTCTGAAGCTTCAGCAAGAGTACCTACAACCTCTTATTTCAGGCCCACGATTTCACCTTTCCTGAATTCCCAGAGCTGGTGCTGTCTGTAAAGTATGTTTGGAGCCTTGATTGTACCCAGAGTTGATATTTAGTGGCTGCACCAGTAGATCTTACCACTTGTGGGCACTACTGCTGCTTCTTATTGGTCACTGCCCATGCCAAACCAGCCATTAAATATTCTGTATATCTCCCTGATTATATCCAAGTGTATTATATATTTAGTTTTACCATTCTCTAGTATAAGGCTACCTATTCTGATTTTAACATGTGTTTGCAATTTTTTTTGCGCTCCTCCCATTAAGAAGTGGAGTCTACATTCCTCTCCTCTGGATCGTGGGCTGGCCTTGGTGACTTGGTTTTAAAACATAAAATGCAATGGAAATGACACCACGGGACTGCCTATGCCAGGCAATTAAGGGCAATACAACCTCCCCCTAGTGTGCACACAGGGTTCCTTCCTCCTCTCTTTCTCAGGAACCTGCTCTTTGGAGCTTCTTGCTCAATCAGCACGCTATAAAGAAGCCCAGTATGCAAAGCCAGAGGCAGCCAACAGCCATCATCAGCCACTAGACATGAAAGAAGACCCCTCCCCCATGACTCCAGCTCCAGCCACTCTCTGACTGCAATTACATGAAAGCTCATAAACAACAAGCACCCCGCTGAGCCTAGTGGAGTGGTTTGTTAGACTGCAGGAGATAGATAACTGAAACACTGACAAGTGTTGTTCGTAGATGAAGTTGTAACCAATGGGTTGACTTTTCTCATGAAAATGTTTTGTCTGCCCATCACAACGGTTTTTAAAAGGACTGAACTGGAACTCCTTTAAATGAGGTGCACAATGACTAGTTCTCCACGGTCCCCATCGCCCCCCGTCAGTTTACATTTGTCTACATCACCATCTGTTAACTGACTGGGCCCTGAAAGCATATGTGTTAACACAACTTGTCTCCCAACAAGATGTTAAGCTCTTTATGGGCTAAGACCATTGTCCCAGTGGCATGTGCTGATCAGAAGATCATTACATCTATTGAAATGAATTTATTGCTATATATACATCTACTTGAATAAACGAAAAGTGTCATTCAAGTGCTTTAAATTCTTCTTACCATGACTTTAGGGTGTTCCTGCTGACTGTGTTTGGGGAAGGATTTAGTGGACAAGGTGGGAAGAGGTCTCGTATAAATTTCAAAAGAAAAATATATGGGGATGAAATTATACTGGACAATGGAATACACAAAAGGAGTGTAATAATGAAATACAGTTGTTTAAAGACAAGGACATTGGTACTCTGATTTTTTGAACCCTATAAAATAGATATACATCAGGCTAAAGTTCTACATTTTACCTGTCAGCTCTTAAAGATAGTCAAAGGAATAGGGAATGGTCAAACCATAGAATATTTATTACTTTATTTCTAATATCCTGTAGATTATATCCTTCCCATTCCATGCTATAGAGAATGCTTTTACAAACAAAAATTCTGGGAAAAATCATAATTTGTATAGACATTTGATCTATTTTTACCTATTTTTTGAAAAGATAGAGAAAGAAATTCCAGACATGTCTGGTCACAGCAGAGTGAGAGTGAGTTAATAGGGAAGCTGACTTAAAGCCATTTCTGTCAAAGAAAGGGGATCCTAAGGGAAAAAATTACTTTTGACTCAAGCCAAGCAGTAGAGTAAATCCTCTATTTTTAAGTGAGCTGATGAAGTGACAATTCTGAGAACCAACCCCTCAATATGTACCTTCAGGGATGACCACCCAATTAACTCCATTCTTGCTGACATTTCCCATTGCGTTAGAAACTTCTTAATGCACATTAGTTCAGCTAAAATGGATTCCATGAGAATGAAAGATAAAGGGTATTTATCTCCTATACCCACAAAGAAGCAAAATGTTATTCAGGGCTTTGTGGAAATATAATCATGATGTGCTATTCAAAGTAAACTAGTGTAGTGGAGCTACTCCAGAATCACTCCCACTAGATTAACTCATCAATTTTCAAAACTAAAAGATGTCGATTAAAGCCAGTGGGTGTCATGAAGCTAAAATTCCCTACAATGCCTGAAAAGGAGCAGCCCAAAATTTTTTCTAAAAAATGGACTATCCTATCCCTTTACCACACAAAGAGGACCTTCAATTTCTTAATGTTACTTTCCCTGAAATAGACACATAGTTTGAGGAAGCAAGAATTAGTACTATTGCATGGATTTTCATTCGTGCATAACTTTTCCAGAAACATTAACCAATTTAAGGTCCTTGTGAAAGAGGTATTTGTTTTTGCTGATGGAGAAGAAAACTACACAGAATCATGCGGTTTGCCTAAGCCCACAAAGTCAGCCAGCATTTTTCCAAGGCATGAATGAAATATGAAAAATAGACAAGGCCCTTCGAATCTGAAAGTCCATCAGTATTTTAGGATGATGGTAAAAAGGACACATTTAGGAGGTTTTCAATTAGCAGCACAGGCCTTGTCACACACCCAAAAACATAATGACATTTTGAAACTGAATTAACTTGACAGTATCTCTAATATGGAGAAGCACAAACGCCAAAAATTCAGGAAAATACTGGTGACAAAAATATCTTGAATTATCCACAAACTGCAAGAAGAGTCTGAACCGATCTGAAGTAGATCTGAAAGAGCAGGATGATTCACACAGATCTGTGACTACCATACTACATGGAGATGCTCATCCGGATACTGGAAAACATTTGCTGAGGCTGTCAGATTCAAGGAGCTATCTCTAGAACCCTAAATCTAAAATTTCATTTTTCTTTTACATCTAAAATTTCAATTGACTGATTGAGGTTAGGAATGAAGCAGGAGAGACGGGCTGAGAGACACTATGATGAGAGGAGAGATCCAAGGACATTGGAGCACATGGCTTGAAAGCAGTTGCCTGTCATTTCCAAAGAAGTCTGAAAACCTTCTAACCTATGTTCTTTTGACTGGAGTCAGGGATGGGTAGAGCAATGGTTCAGCTTTAGGCCTACTCCTTAAAGTGAGCACTTTGAACTAACTTTGTGGGTGGATGCTGTAGGAAGGCCAGAAGGGCAGAGGGCAGAGATAGGTAGATTGGGAGCCATGGTTAAGAGGGACAGCTAGTATTCACAGCTTAAGCCAAGGGCTGGTACAGAGCCTCAAGTTTCTACAGTCTAGAAAAGAGCAGGGAGTTGAAAGGGAGAGTAACAAGAGACCCAGAGAGCATAAAAAGAGCCAGTAAAATATCCAGAGACCAGAATATCAGCCAAGGTTAAAAAGTAGGCCATAAAAAAAAAAAAAAAGTGGGCCATGGAAACCAGGCTTCCAGCTATGATGATATGAAATAGTCAGCAAATTCCTTCCACAAAAATCAAGTATAAAACTGGACACAATGGTCAACAAACAACCATTTTAGGGCTCTGGGAATTGATCATCAAATCCAAACACCAAACTGAAAAATGTTTAATTATGAAAAAGTGCTAGAGCTTGGAAGTAAGTAGAACAGGAGTCTGTGGCCTTCTTGCCAGGGACTGCTCCTGCCCTTCCCAGCATGGTCAGTGAGAACTCTGTTCTCTCAGGACAGGTAGGGCGGCTGGCAAATCAGCAGCTTTGTTGCCACAGGGGGTGGACTCAGTTGGAGATGGAGGTGAAAACCTGCAGCTTTGTCAGCTAAAAGTGGCAAACTTGGCAGAAAACAAATGAAAGGATGCCCACGGCTCTGCCAGCCTGAAGTTACAGTTCCCGTTGGGAAGACTGACAGGCGAGCCGGGAATTTTTTTAATATTTATTTATTTATTTTGAGAGAGAGAGAGAGAGAGCAAGCGAACACTTGAGGGGGGAGGGGCACAGAGAGAGGGAGAGAGAGAATCCCAAGCAGGCTCTGCACTGTCAGCACAGAGGCCGACACAGGGCTCGATCTAACAGACCATGAGATCATGACCTGAGCCAAAATCAAGAGTCAGATGCTTAACCAACTGACCCTCCCAGGCAACCCCAAGCCAGAAATTTAAAAGGGAGATCTTAGAAATAAAATAGTCATAGAAGGGTGAGGTAAGATCTCTGCACACCCCTGGCGGCCTGGGACCCTAGACACACATACAGTAAAGATTCAAGCGAGCCCAGTGGAAAGTGAAATCCAAGGCTAACTGAGAAATGTACTCCCAGCCCATACACAGATCAACTGGTAGAGGACAGAAGCCCTCCCTATTCCAGGTGTTTGAGCACAAGGTCTACCCCAATCCCTGGCAGAGCGCTAAGCTGTGCAGGCACAGGGACAACCTCTAGGAAATGAGGCTCAAAAATAAACATAAGAATTTAAAAGATGAGAAGAGACCTCCATGGCCGCCTACTATATAAGGAGATAGATTCTGCAATCTAAGTCAAGGAAAGTTATCTTTTTTTAAGCCTCAGAAAAATTAATCAGAATCCATAGTTGTTACAATGTAGTATCCAAAATGTCATCTTCAACGACAAAAAAATTATGCTATACAAAGAGAGAAAAGTGTTTTAAAAAATGCAGTCAATAAAAACTGAGCAAGGCCAGATGTTGGGTTTAGCAGACTTGAAAGCAGCCATTACAAATTAGCCTACAGAATTAAATTATATTCAAAGAATTAATGGTAAATATAACAGTGACTGAACAAACAGAAAATCACAACAAAGAGAAACTAAAAAACAACCAAATGGCAATTCTGAAATTGCAAAGTACAATCACCAAAATGAAAAATTTGTTACATGAGTCAAAAGCAAATTTGAAAATGCAGAAGAAACAATCCATGAATTTGAAGACAGATCAACAGAAATTATGCAGTCTGCAGCACAGGGAGAAAAACAGTGGAGAAGTGGGCACCAGCAGAACAGTATCTAAAGTACCAGCAGGCAGAACCAACAGTAATCTAAACCTTACAGGGAACACTGTGTCAAGTGTATTTCAATTAAAAAAAGTGATCTAAACCTCAAGTGAAGATTTCTTAATTGTAAGCCTCTTATTTGATAAGTGGGGATAATAAATAGTACGTACACCTCACAGAAATGACAAGAGGATAAAATTAATTCTAACATGTAAAACACTTCCTGGCACATTGTCAACATAATAATGGTTAGATGCCATCATTAGCATCATACACATGTTGCTAGGGAAGGAAATCATGGCTGGCCTTGGCCCCAAAACTTCCTAGGGAAACTGCCTACCTATAGGGAAAGTTCCTACAGGCAGCTGGGAGGAAGGGGAATAAATTATAACTGCTATTGGAGAAAAATTATACAGCCATCAGTTCTGTGACACTTACTGCTTCAACAAAATCTTCTAGTTACTTCATAAGTATACAATTACTTCTACATTTGTACCTATAGTTTGTAAGTATTTGTTCTTTTTTAAGATCTTCAAAAGTTTCTGCCTGAGTGTGAAATTCTAGAGCAATTTGTTTTCAATATACATATATTTATAAGTACATCTAGAAATGATTCACACGTTTGTACCCTAATAAGCATTCCTGCAGTATGTTTTGATGCCATAATTAGAATTAAGAACTGATTCATATAATATCACAAATAAGACTTACCAACACCTAACACAGATTTTGCCAAAACAAGGTAACTGGACAGCCAGCTACTCTGACTAGAGGAAATTACAAAATTTGACCTAAAGGGACTTCACTTCCCACCACATATTTATCTCTTTCACCTTCTTTCATTTTTTAATTTTTTTTTACTCACTCTGTTTTTGGAACCGCTTTTCTCAGCCAGAAGAAATCAGACTGTGCTAAATACTTGCGGGTTTGCAGGACATTGCCAAAGTAGTCGGATTCTGAAAACTTGATCTGAATAAAACAAACCACAACCATCATTGTTCAAAGTGCAGATAAAAGAGGGCTCTGCCAACGGAGAGGCTGCACTCCTCACATCACCTCCACCAGTTAGCCCAGTATCCACAAAGCCATGAAATTTCATCTCAGTGATTTTCCTTTCAAATAAAAGGCCCCAAAATCAATACAATGGTTTCTGGATCGCAGTAAAAAACAAGAGAAGCTGCAATAATTTATGATGCGTTTCACTTGCTTTATAATTGAAAAATCTACTTTAACCTTTACAGAACCTATTATCCTAGGTTTGAAATTTCTTGGCTCACCTGAGTCCTTCATCTTTTCTAAAATGGGTACGTTATTTACTTGTAACGTAGGTTCTTCTAATAATATTCAGTTTAGTCAGCTAAAAAACTTCATTTAGCTTATAGATGATGATTTAGTCAAATGTTAAAATCCAATTTACTGTAATCAGCATTTGTTCATGAAGGGAAAAAAAAATCAAAGTGATTCAGGGACTTATTTCCCATCCTGAGCACAATGGAGCCACTAGGATAATTCCATTATTAACAGATATTTGTCTATTACCACACAAAAAAATTCTCTGGTCACCAAAAACTAATGACATTATAGAGGCAAATCCTAGATTCAGCTTACATAGAAAAACAGGAAGCTGATGTCTCACAACAATTTGTACATTACAGTTGGGAAACAGACATCAAGGATTCTTGAGTTCCTTATCTTTTTTTGGAAGGAGAATGGCAAACAATTTCAATTCTATAGCCACTCTCTACAAAACTAGCAGTACTTAACCTAAATATTATTAAATAATATCTGTATAACAGTAAAAGCAATGGTTTGTAGTAACATCTAATACTTTGGTTTTAAAATGTATTACTGGGGTGGGGCACCTGGGTGGCTCAGTCGTTTGAGCATCCAACTCTTGGTTTCAGCTCAGGTCACTATCTTGTGGTTCATGAGTTCAAGCCCTGCATCGGGCTCTGTGCCGACAGTGCGAAGCCGGATTAATATTCTTTCCCCTCTCTCTGCCCCTACCCTGCTTGCTCTCGCTCTCTCTCTCTCTCTCTCTCTCTCTCTCTAAAAATAAGTAAATAAATAAACTTTTAATTAATTAATTAAATATATTACTGGGAAAAATAAGAAAAATACATGTTTGAATAAGCAAATAACCAACAGTAATCAAATTCTTATCGGCTATATTTTTTGTGTATTTAAACCATATGATTTTAAAAGCAAAAATTAAAATACAGCAAACTCAAGTATATGAAACCCACAGGCATTACATTATAAATATACACACATGCACACACAACTTGATGGTTATAGATTTGACAGTCACCTATTCGTTGGCCAATGTCTGGCTCTCTTCCCTAACATACAATAGATACTCATTATGTCTGTAGAGTATCTCTGTTAATGATTCATCTTGACCTTTCCAGGGGCCAGGCCAAAATATAAAGGAAGGAGCAAAACAACTGAAGGCACAGGGAGAAATGCAGGAATGAAAGTATCAATTCCTGGCACCTTTGCTGTTCTACTTGATCAACCAATTATAAAGATATGACTTTAAGCTGTCCCTCCATCAAGCCTCTTAGTGAAGTGGCTGATAAACTGTGGTGCAGTCACATAATGGAAAGCAACATGGCACTTTTATTAAAAAGAGTGGCATGTATGCATGAACATGAAATAATCTCAAAAGCGATGCTGAGTGAATAAGGCAAGCTGGATGTATGAGCTAATTTAAAGTTTTAAAACATGTAAACCAATACTATATGTTGCTTATGGATACGTACCTATGTAGTAAAAGCATAAAGAAATGCATGGGAGTGATAAACACTGAAATCCAGATAGAGTTTATATCTAGGGAAGAGGTAGGTAAGAAGAAAGGGCATCATTAGGTCAAGGTGGATTACAGAAAGAATTTCCATGGTATCTATTTTATTCATTTCAAATGTATATGTGCATTACAAAGCTAATGTAGCCATGTTTAATATTTATTAAAGCTGATGTGTTCAAAATTTGATTTTACATACTTTTCCAATGTTTGAGATGCTTCAAAATAAAATCTTATAATTGTTTGTATTTAAAAATAGAAGAAATTTATACTCAAAGTCTCAGAAGACACAGAGTAAGCTCCCTGTTTTAGGAGGCAACCTTAACTAACAATCCTAATGCATTCCCGAGTCATATAGTTAAAAGATGTGTCTGCTGTTCAACCCTTAGCCTTTTTTAGCTTTTGTTCCCATGATAGCTCTGCCAGAACTTTCAGAATGTGATTGTAACTGATGAAAAATTCAGATACATTCTTGGGTTTCTCAACACTTTCTGGGAAATTCTCTCAAAGGAATTTCGTTCAAAAATAGTAACTTTTCAGTAATATCTGTGGGATCGGTTGTTACTTTTAGAAGAGTTTGCTAATCATGATACTTTCCTGTTCCATTAAAAAAAAAGCCTTAATATTCAGGTTGTTCTATAGACATTAAACAGAAAACCATCCAAAAATTTCCTTAAAAAGAACAGGCTGAAGTCTAAAAATACTTTTAAATAAATAAGGTCCTACCACTGCCATAAAAATAATCATAGGGAACAAAACTCAGAGGCAAGTAACTACAATTTGTCCATGGCTTATGTATATTTAGAAGGACAATTTTAAAATAGTATTAATTATTAAACAGAATTTTGTGATTTCTTACCCTAGTTTAATCACTCTAGTCCATTTATTTAATGGAAAACACAGATAATGGGACAAAATTTTACTTTTCTCTGTGACACAAGTTAAGTGTTTGGGGAGACAGAAGGGCCAGCATGTTATTCCCAAATGATGGATGGGAAAAGAGCTGAAGAGATTATGGAACTTGGCAAGGCCACATGGTTCAAATCATTAGGCTCCTACTTCAATGTTACTTTCATTGGTCTCAATAAGAATGCCGGTGATTCAACAGAAACAGTACAGGGAAGGAGGAGGGGACTGTAAGAACTAAAGGTGGGAGGAGAAGCAGTGAGTAAATACATTATGACAGTTTACTTATCATACAGCTGTGAAAATAATGCTAGTTAAGGCTCTGGAAGACCAGGACAAGAGAATAAGTCATGGTAAAGGTCGGTATACAAAATTATTTGTAAGCATCAATTTCAGCAATACAAAACTAGAAAGAAAACAACACACTGAAACAGAAGTACGCATTATTATGTGCCAGTACCAATATCATGGGTGCTTTTTCATTCCTTTTCTCTATTTCCCAAATTTTCTACCACGTGATAATACTTTGATAATTTCAAATATTTCAGGAGGCCCTTCAATGAAAGGGAAAAAAGCTATGAAACCCAGCAACCACTGGGAAATTTTCACTTGCAGAGATAGCAGCAACAACAACGAATGCACATAAACACTGTAAAGCCACCTATACTCTTCAAAAATAATGTTTAAACTCTGAAAGGGACACTAATTGTTTCAAAAGCCTCTTGTCCTGTTACTGGTGAAAACATAGGTCAAGCTGATAATGATTTTCAGTCAATTACATCTGACTTTTCAACTGAGTGATCTTTGGGAAACTATTTGGGGCTCTCATGTCATTTCCTAGGAACAGCCATCCAGATCCGAAAATTCAGGGGAATGTGAATTTCTCTTCTTGGAAATCCTATCCTGGATGCCAAGCATCAAGTATCACAGACTTAAGGGATAAAGAGATAAAGCTATTACCACACCTCAAGGGTGAGGAACATGTAGGAAGGGCAGAACAAGGAAATGTGATCAGCTTCCCTGTAGGATAAGTACATGTTGATAAGACACTACACAAGCCAATAGGATGTACAGATTCTACAAAACTTAAGTTAAATCCATGTAAAGATACTCAGATATATCCAAGTGTCTGTACGAAAGGTTTTATGCTAGGCATCCATAGAATTTTCTAAAACCTTAACGAAATTCAGATTTCATACTTACATTTTCCCTTAGTTATGGCACAGTAATATGCAAGATTGCTGCATTTAGATGGCTTTGTCCATAAGTGTTATGTGTGTATACATACGTACATACATACATAGAGATAATGTTCAAAATGTTGAACTTACATATATGGTATACTGTGGATGATGGAGTTCCCAAAAGCAGCCACATATGGGTGACTCTCAGGATCGCCAGCTAGCACATCAGCCAGGAACCACATGGAACCAGATACCCTGTAGCCTCCACTGGGGGAAAGAGGAGGTCATGGCCTGCTCTTGCCAGGGGAATACTCAAGATGGAGGCCAGTGTGTGGGAGTTAAGGAAGGCTAGCTGGAAGGTTAGCAGACACCAGGGCACTGCCCTCCAGTGGCAATTCTTGGTTCTTCAGGGCCATGGTGGCCAGAGGTAACTTACAAGAACTCAGGACAATGTTTTGTTTCTTTACCTACTGTATAGAATTATTTACACCCTGTTTTTCTGGAGCATGTCACCTAAATATCACCTCACTCTTGCATAGCAGCGGTAGCACTCTCTGTCACTGACAAACACACACACACACACACACACACACACACACACACTCATGCTCCACTGGCTAGAGAAGACCAAGACCCACCCCCAGAGAATATTGTGTAGGTTCACACATCTGTATATCTCTATATGTGTGTTTATATGTTTATGTATGTATGTGTTTATCACTCACCAGAAACACTGATCTCCTCTGAAAAAATTACCTAAATCCAATTCTCCTAAGTAAATAGAGGCCAGCTGGGACTCTGACTTTAGCCCTTACTCTAATTCTCCATTGGCTTTCACAAGAATGAGTGAAACGCCTAGTGGGGCCGACTATTTACCTACTGTGTCTCAGCTTATTCTGTTCTATAATGCTGGGGCTGGGAATCTGAAAACTCTATTTCCCAGGCCCAAGTGCCAGTTGGCTTCCTGCCAATAGGAGGCACTGGGGGAAATCAGCAGGTGGCAGAAGGTGAAAAGCTGCTGTGTTTCTTCTCTTTCATTCTCTCTCCTGTTTCTTATGATGATGCTGGAAGAATATTCAGCCCCTCTTCCTATTAATTCCCCTCACTCTGAAATGCCTAGTGTGGTTGTGGCTTTCCTGGCTAATAGGCTAATGCGCCAACCCTTCCACAACTGATGCCAACTTGCTCTTGAGTCTGTTTTCATCAAGGATCAATGAAAGAACACTTTGTGAGGCTAATTTGAAAATGGACCTACACCTACATGTTTAAGCTAACTAGTAGGTTTTCCCGCATGCTACTCAGGATTCACACAAAGGGCATCTCCTGCTCTTTGCAAAGACTAAATTACAAGCGGTGTTCAGAAATACTTTGCTGGGTATCTCAGTTTACCTTGTCAACTCACAGAGGGAAAAATTTTTTTCCTCTAAATCTTTACATTTGCCTCTAAGTTCTTTTCCATTTGCTCTTACCTCCACATGAGCCCAACTTCAGACTTCAACCTTTCTCCTTGACCTTCATCGGATCCATTACCTAATCTCTATGCTCTTTCCTTTTGCCTTTCTGCCTGATGAATCGTATCTTTGCTTGCGTCAAATGAAGTAAGCTGTTTTTCATTTCCAACAGCCTCTCAACACTCGGCGCTTGTATTACCAAAAATTTCTCACAGGCCCTAGAGTAGCCCTTACCTACATGTTTCCCAGACCTGAAAACACAGCCTCACTGTACGCCAGCTATTACCTCGGTGACACTATTACTATCACACCTAGCATCCTTTACCTAGTTTCAGGTTGGGGGTTATTCATTTCTTCTATCCATTTCTGAACACAGACGTATTTTTATTTCACTATCTGGATGTTTTCTCACTGCCCATTTTTTAAACTGTTAGCATCTCTTGAGTTCAATTGTGTCTACTCCGGCAATGAGTCAGACGAAAGCCGTTTCTTGACAAAAGCGCTTAACATCTTGGTGTCTAATGGCTTCAGTTCAGACCCTAGAGAAACAAGGAAACATACCGAACAGTGCATCCTGTCTGGCATCTGGATTCAGTGCAAGCACTCACTGCATTCGGTGAGTACTTACATTTTGGGCACTCACCTTAGACAACAGCAGACTGCCAACAAAAGTTGATCAACTCAATATGGACAGTGGGCCCTTGATGCTATCTTATTTGCTTAAAGCTTGAGACTGTTCCATCTGTATAGCCTTTTAAATCAATTTGAGGCACCTGGATACCGCACGAGTCAATTCATAATGAATTTTCCACACCAAAATAACCTATCATAACTACATATTAAAGATGTCCTAACTAACACTTACATTGTGCTTACTGTGTGCCAGGGTAGGTTTTAAATATTCTAAATATGTTAACTTACCTGATCTTCACAGCAGCCGTGTAAGGGAGGGATTATTACTGTCATCGCCATTTTAATATGAGCAATCTGAGGCACAGAGAGGTTATATAAGCTACCCTAGGCCACACAGCTAGTAAATGGCAGACCAGGGATTTAACTCCAGGCACTTTGATTCCAGGGCCTGTGTTCCTAACCACTACACCAAAATGCCTCTCACACCGTCTCATCTACATCTTTGACTTGGAATAGTTGCCAGTCTCACTCAGGCTCTCTTCCTAAGGAGTTTTGTGCCCTGGTGATGCTCTTCTCAGCAGTGACAGTTCTCATTCTGACCCACAAAGTAATAGCTACCCCTCACAGGGAACCTACTTATGCAGCAGAACATTGTGCAAGGTGCTTTTACATTTGTATACTTGTCCTTGGAATGTGAGTTCCACTTGCCTTTCCCCGCTCCCAGAGGCGGCTCCAAGGACACGGCCTTGAGATAGTGATGAGGTGTTGAGAACACCTACACAGTATACATGACTGAACCTAGTTATAGCCTCTATATAAACTTTTAAGATTTGGCGAGCAGGTGCAGGGATGCACTCGTCTTGCTGGCCTAGTATGTAAGCCCCTTGGCTTATTAAACTACCACCTACCAACCTGGAGTGGCCTGCCTCTTCCTTCACTCCCCACCCGCTGAGCATGGGGCCTGGTTTTGGATTACCCCAGGAAGCTTCTGAGAAGCTTGCAAACCCACAGCCAATAACCAAAGGGAAGCTAACCAAAGCTGCACAAGATCAGACAACTAATAAGTAGAAAAGGCAGAATCACTCCAAGGCCTGTGCTCTTAACCCCTAGACAATATGACACCCCCCCATATTCTTCCCCCTTCCCAACCAGCTCTGGGAAGGAGCTCTCATTGATTCTTCAAACCCACAACTCTTCCTCCAGTGCAGGTGCCTGACCAGGACCTTGCAGAGCTTTCTGGGCCCAGATGTCAGTCCAGGCTCGGATTCCCCGTAGAACACTGAGGAAATCACTGAACATCTTTGAGGCTCTACGTCCTTTTCTGCAAAATGGGGATAAACACCATCTACTTCATAGGATCACTGTGGAGCTTAAAATATAATGTACAGGAATGTGTCAGGTGGAGCAATATTTTTAATTATCATAGTAATAGTGAGACCATTCAGCATCAAAACAATGTATAAGACAGGCTGAAGCATATGTATTTTCCTGCATAGCAACTGGATCAATATGCTTTGGAAGGCCACATCTTGGAGCCCAATGGGGAAACTTTATCATTAAAGCTTTCTCTCACTTCTGAATAAGCTTATAAAAGTCTGATGTTCATCTACAAAGCTAGGACTTCTTCTAGATATGTGACTTGTCAAACTACAATTTCAGGAAAGACCTGTACCTCAGAACCTTACTTATTTAACAAACTAAAAAACTACTTTTTCAAGAAAATCTAGTAAGTGGTAAAAATAGGGGGTTTTGTGAGGAAGAAAAGTTCTTTATCAGAACTATTTATAGGAAAGGAAGTAACACTGGTTGTGATTAGAAAGCCCTGTGGTGAATATATCTACTGGAAAATACATGTCCCAAAATATCAGAAAATAAAAGAATTATTACTATTCCTCCATCAATAGCTTACTGCAAATATACAGTCCAACTCACAATAAATTATGGAGTCATATGTATGTGCACTTAATCTGCCAAAACACTCATGAAGTTTAATGAAGTTAACTCCCAGCAGGCAGATTTATTACTCGTCATTTAATAGGAGTGAAGCACATAAAGAATGTTTAACAACAAACATCATGCATTTTACATTAGAACATGCCCACTAATTATAAAATACTCAATTTGCTTAATTCTTTCCTTAATGATCAAATTAGACCGAATCCAGGTCCATTTGCTTTATGGTACCCACTCAGCTAAGCATTCTTTCTGACACTTCCTTTAATTTGAATCTGCTCTAAATCTTGTGATACGCCTGGCATATTAAGGCTCATATCTAGCCAAGGAATGAATCAAAAGTTGGTGCTTTCTGGCACTACCCGGTTTAAGTGCTTGGGACCTGGGTTAGTTGAAAGGCACAAGGCCAGTAAAACTTGCCAAAAAAACAAAAACACAGTATATTTAGCACTTACTGCTTTGAGGTCTTCATTAACATAAGTATCATTCATTATAAACTCAGGATAGCCAACTTTTGCCAAAACAGCTCTTGCCTATAAAAATGAAAGAAAAAAATGATGTCAGAGTCTCAGCACTCAAATCATTAATAATCACACAACGTAGGAATGCAACTTTCATCTGAAAACTCTCTTTACTGAGTATCTACTACACTATATACAACCCATTGTGAAATGCAGAAAAAAAAAATCTACTTTTTTTTTAATTCAGTCCCTACCCTCAATACGTTAACAGTACAGTGAATGTAACAAATAAATACATAGTAAGAATAAAATACAGGTTTTAAAACAAAGAAAATATTGTTATCAAAGTCCAGAGCAGAGACTAATTCCTCATGGGAAAAAGGTTTAATGTAGGTGACCAAACTGATCCTTAGAGAATGGTTGGGACTTCAAAATGCAGAAGTGAGATGAAGAACATTCCAGGAGAGCAAACAAAAGGGGCAAAGACAGGGCCCAGGAAAGAAGATCATGGCACAGAGAGGGGGGGTGTAGCTTGCTGTAGCTGGACTAGAAAGTACTAGGAGGGGAGAGCAGTAACCAATGCAGGAAAACTGGTTTGGGCCAGTTCACAGGGATTCCTGAATGCCATGCGAAGAGTCTGTATTTTATTTTATAGACAGGAGAGGACAGGGGCGCCTAGGTGGCTCAGTTGATGAGGTGTCCGACTTTGGCTCAGTTCACAATCTCACGGTTCGTGAGTTCGAGCCCTACGTCAGGGAGCCTGTTTGGGATTCTCTCTCTCCCTCTCTCTCTCTCTGCCCCTCCCCTGCTCACGCTCTGTCTCTCTTTCTCTCTCAAAAGTAAATAAAACATTTTTTTAAAAAAGTCAATAGATAGGAGAGAACTAAATATTTTTAGCAGGAGTAAAGCAAGAGGAATCACCCTTCAGCAAGATTACCATGCAACACTGAGAATGATGCTGGCCAGAATGCCAGAAAGATTGGAGGTAGAGGGTCCAAACTAATGTAAGATGCGTCACAACCATCCCTTTGATAGACATACTAGTTACTCCCTGTGTTCTGCAGCATAAAGAGAATGAATAGAGGAAAAATCACCTTGGGCCCATACAAGGAACTTGCATATTAGGGACTGGCAAACTATGGGCCAAATCTAGTGTCCCCTCTCTTCCCCACCCCACCTCCATCTGTTTTTATAAAGTTTTATTGGAACACAACCACACCCACTCATTTGCACATAATCTGTGGCTGCTTTTGCACTACGGAGGCAGAGTTGAGTAGCTGGAACAGAAACTCTGTGGCCCACAAAACCTCAAACATTTACTATCCAGCCCTTTGTAGAAAAGGTTTGCCAACTCTTGCTCTAGAGAAACTTTACAATCCCATGTGAAAATATGTCTCTCTCCTCTCCCCAGATTCTAGATTTCATAAAAACCAAAGAGTGGCTTACTCAAAGAGAAATTAGGGATTTACCCAGATCCCCCTGGGATCCCTTTTATTGCTTCTCCACATCCCTCCCCAGCATCTAATGTTCTTTTTCTTTTTGTGGCCAGCACATCAGATCTTAGAAGGCCTGCCCTAGGGCTACTGGAGCCCCTGGCCTGTACTCAAACAGTTCTTTCCTGGGAGTTCATCTACCTTCGGATCCCATCCCCACCCCCACCTACCCCAGCAGCCTTCAGCCAATGCCTGGCTGTAGCAGGAATAGGAAAGCCCCGCTATTTTGCCTCAATTTGGGATAAACTGTGAGGTCTAATTTGCACTCCAGAGTTCCCCTGAACAATCAGGCTGTTTGAGACTTCCCCTAAAATCACACCCTTGGCTGTCTCTCACCCTTCTCTGGCTGGCTTCCCCTATTGCTTTGCTGGTTTCTCTTGGGAGCACTTGCAGAATAAATCCTAAATCACTTGCACCCAAATCCTCATCTCCAGCTTTGTCTCCAGAAGACCCAACACTAGACACCAGGCAACCCCAAACACACTGGTTTTATTTGAGCACAGCAAAACCAGTGACCTTTGCATATTGCTCTTGCTAATGAGTTTTTTACCTTTAGTCCCTTTCAATTTTCCTCACCCAAGAAATAAACAGAATAACATAATACATTTTCCTTATCTTCCTTGAGATAATTCAAATATTAAATATCAGTAGAAACTTGAAACTCAAAGACTCAGAAAGGATTTTACAAGTGCCATAGGACACAGTCATAATGGATTTTGTCATTCCAGCCTCAAATATAGCACAGATCAAATTCCGCCTTCAAAAACCTGTGAGTTACACTGAAAGCCTGATGTAATCTAGAGAACAGATAACTAGAGGTTACAACTCTCCCCCAACGCCACACAATGCCTCCTATGCCTATAAATTCCCTTGTTTCAAGACTGTTGTAGTAGTGTTTCCCTCATTGCATTTAAGTCCTCGTTGCATTTTATGAGCTCGCCACTAGTCACTTGCGTAGCATAGAGCAAATAAAGAGCTCCAGATAGTTTCCCCAAAAGTGAAGTGATATATAAGCTGGGTCATCCACAATCGTTTTCTGAACACTGGTCTTCCTGGAGCATGCTGATGAATTATGCATTGTTTTTCAAACCTCGCGTTCTGGGACCCCCACTGCACTATGGAGCTTCACAGAATATATTACCTTCTACACTGTACATGCAGGTCATTGAATCCTTTTTTATTATTTATTTAGCAATACCAAGACTTGAAGAGAGCCAGAAGAGAGCTACAAAGAATCTGTAATTCATCTCCCAAGGACATATAGATAGAATAAGATAATAAGACTAGTAGCAACATTGCCAACAGCTGAACAGAGTGCTCTTCTTTCCAAAATGTGCCCTTTATGTATGCCTCCATTCAAACTCCAATGGTCCCTCTGTCAGACAGTGTGTTGTCAGTTCCACATCATCCCACCCCTCCCCATTCTACATTCTTCTCCGAGAAGCTTCAGAAGTCCATCTCCAGAAATCCCATGGGGCATGGCTCCACGTTAGAATCTGTCAATGAGAACAACTTATAGGACATTGCAAAGGTAGAAGGAGACACTATTTATTCACTTCATTGGGAGCTATGGGCAGACACAGAGCCATCTGCGAATGGCAGAGGGAGCGCTGTGCCAGCAGCTTCCAGGCAGTCTCCTGAGAAGACCCCTTCTGTGTGAGGGCAGCAGTTCACTGAGAGATTGTGGCCTTTGCTCTCCAGCCTTCCCAACAGTTGCAGAAGCCTCCAATTCCCTGTATTATACATCTTCTTCCTTGATACACTTTGAAGGGCATTCATGTTCCCGCATGAACTCTGATACACACTTTAAGGCAAATAGTGATTACATCACCTTTTTACTTTTCATGAATGAGATAAATGAATACCAACAGCTTGATGACTTGCTCAAGGGCAAAGTATGGTGAGACAGGCTTGAAATTAGTTACCCCATGGGTTGGTGACACAGACAAGAAGGAAAGGCAAGTCCCAATGCAAATACTGAGAGAATGGTGGTATAAATAGGTAACAGACTGCATATTATGTTCGACAAGGAATATTTCCTAGGCTGATTGTGACTGATCAAAAACTCCAGAGTTTTCTGTAACCACTGCATGCATTTGCATTCCTTATTCAGACAAAGTTCTGGAAAGGGACTGCTGCATGTGACAACCAAACGTCCTTCCTCAATGGAGTAGGCTCAAGCCACTGATGATCTTCACCACCTCTGTGACCTTGTGCAAAGTTCTTACTTTTCAGAAGCAAGTACTTCCTGTTGTCTACTGAATATCCATTCTACTTTCCTTCTTTTAGTATCAGACTCCAATTCTGTTCAGGATGACAAAAGAACAAACAAAAAAATAGCTGTATCACCTAGCTTCCTTTGCAGCTAGAATTGGCTATAGAAAGAGATTCTGGCTAATGGCTGTGTTCCACTTCCAGGAGTCCATTTTTAAAAAGGACAGATTTGGCTGGTTTGTGTTTTCTTCCTTTGGTCCAGGGTTTCTAGATCTCAGCTCTATTGACATTTTTGAGCCAGATAATTGTTGTGGAAGGTGTCCAGTAGACTGTAGGATGTTTAGCAGTGTTGTCAGCTTCTTCTATGCACTAGATGCCAGTATAAACACCCAACCCCAAGTCTGGACAACTGAAATTGTCTCCGGTTATTTCCAAAAATTCCCTAGGGGAAAAACTGCCCTGAAGTGAGAACCACTGCTTTAGCTTTTCCTCTTCTTTCCTATAATGCCAATTCAATGCCAGAAGTAGAGCAGCCATCTTGTAATCACAAGGCATGAAACGTGAAGAAGATCTACATGCTAAAGATGCTGGAATGATAGGTTGATGGCATCTGGAGCCCAGCATATCAGCCCTGAACTTCCTACCTTTCTCCTCCATGACATAAGGAAAGTAAACCCCTTATTTGTTTAAGGCATGGTATACCATGTTTTACATTAGCTGCAGCTGAATGTAACCCTAATATGCTCTCCTTTTCCTCAGATGCAGTCTGAGAAAAATATAGGGCCTACTTCAGAGGGTTGTCTCCAAGGATTCAGAATGACACATCCTGTAAAACACTTTTTTATGCCTTGGTCCTGAGTAGACGATGAATAAATGCTAACTGCAGGTTACACACAGAAAGTAGAAACGTGACTTCTTCCAGGGATTTAGAGTAATTGTTGTGTGCTTATTTAGAGGGTCCTTCAGGTAAGGCCAGACCAGATCACACTCTTAACCAAATGCCTGAACTCCCCTGAGGAAGACTGTCACTCTCTTTAATCAGAGGTCCAGTTTCAGAGGGCCATGCAAAGTGGGGAGAGAGAAAGGCTGGTGAAGCAAGCCGGTAGTCAACGCGGAGACAGATGTGCCCGTGAGATTCTTGGAGCATGGTGGAAGATTTTCCAAGCAAAGCCAAACTCTATGCATGAGCCAGGAGAACCCAGACTATTCACACTTCCAAAAAAGTCTGGGGACTCCTTTGAGGGCCACTGTTCACACACCTTAGAAAATGGACACAAGCAACACTATGAAAGCTAATTCTAGAAAAGATCAAAGAAAAAGGTTGCCTTTCGTATTTGCCATACTGGTTTCTGCCTCCCTCTCCTT